AAGTAAAGAACCAAATCGTGAGATGTTTACTGAAAGAAGAGAAGAGCCAACTGCTGGGTTGTTTGCTACAAAAATAAAGGAACCAACTTGTGAGGTGTTTGCTGCAGCCAGTGCCATCCTACGTCTAGCCTCACAAACTCTGTCCATGTGCATCTGACGACGTCTGGCCTCTAGGTGCATAGTCATGGCTCTGCGGTTTCAGACTTTGTGTTCATAAAAGGTAAAAACAGACCACCAGAAGCACAGAGACTACCAGGACATGCCCGCCGTCAGAAACCAGAAAAGCCGACTTCTGAGATTCTCAAGTCGCCATTTGTGTCTCAATTGTCATGGCTACCACAGGCAGTACAACATCAAACCGTCCCCGTCTAGAGCGGGAAAGTCCACAATCCCACCTGTTTGGTGGGGAGTAACACAACTGTTCTAAATGCAGCCAAGGGTAACATACCACGAGGCAGCAGGAAAAACTTTAAACCTTACTGGTCGCCTGAACTGGACACTCTGCATTCAAAACTTAGTACCAGGAGGATAAATATGGAGAAGGATCCTGATAGATAAAAATGTAATACTTCATAACAGAGCAAAAGCAGCTTTCATCAAAGAGAGAAAAAATCAGATGATGGAAAGCTGGCACAAAAAGACGGCGTCATTTAACCTCGAGAAGGACACTTCACGTCTGTGGAATCTCACGAAAAGCCTGAATGGAGACAAGACAGAAAAAGCCAGAGTTGTATTCCTAACAGACGATGGAGCTGTTACTGGCAAGGTAGCAGCAGATGTGCTAGCTGAAACACACCAGAAGGAAACTGAGGTTCATATTCCCATGCAAAGAAAAAAAGACGTACGAAACCAAATCAAGACTCTTCTAGCAGACCCTAGCACAAAAACAACCGAGGCCTGCATGTCAGAAAAGTTTACCATGCAAGATCTGGAAGCTGGAATTGGAGAGTTGAAAATGAAGAAAGCCCCAGGGGCTGACGGCATTACAAACGAATTTCTCTCTCATCTTGGACCTGCTGCCAAGAAGTTTCTTCTCTGTATTTACAACCAGAGCTGGCAAAAAGGGGTGGTACCGTCAGCCTGGAAGGAAGCTCTCATCCAGCCTATCCTTAAAAAAGGTGGAGACAGGAGAGACCCAAAAAGCTACAGACCCATCAGCCTTCTTAGTTGTGTAGGAAAACTGATGGAGAAATTAGTAAATAAAAGACTAATGCGGTTCTTGGAGACAAACTCTGTAATCACCACCACACAGACAGGATACAGACAGCACAGAAACACAGACGACCAGTTGACATATCTGGCACAGGAAATAGAGAATGCCTTCCATGAAAAAAAGAAGGTTCTTGCTGTCTTCTTTGACCTCTCTCGTGCTTTCGATACAGTTTGGAAAGAAGGCCTACATCTAAAACTGCTACAGGCAGGAGTTGTGCACAACATGTACAAGTGGATCAAAGACTTTCTTTTCCAATGCAGAGCCAGATTCAGAATTGATGGACACATCGGCAAATTGGCAAAACTAAGAGAAGGAGTTCCCCAGGGCAGTGCGATAGCACCAACTCTGTTCCTGGTTTACATAAATGATATCACAGCAACCTGCCACCAGCACGTTTATAATACCCTACATGCTGATGGCTTTGCAGCTTGGACAGCCTCCGAATACACTACCACAGCCTCATATCTGTTACAGAAAACTGTGGAAAATGTAGAAGCCTGGACCGAAAAGTTGGGGCTAAAGCTAAATAATTCAAAAAGCACAGCATCACTATTATCTCTCTCCCCCAAAAAATAATAAATATAACAATTTGGATAAAAAACCAGCTCATTCCACAGACTGACACTCCTATCTTTCTTGGCGTTACACTTGATTCGCGACTAACTTGGAAGTCACACGTAGAAGCATTACATGGGAAAGCATTCAAGAAGCTTGCAGTGATGAAAAAATTAGCGAGTACCACATGGGGCGCCAACTCCAGAATCCTAAAACAAGTATATACTGGAGCAGTCAGGCCAATCATGGAATATGCCTTCACTGCATGGGCTGCAGCAGCCAAGACAACAATGGGAAAACTGGACAAGGTTCAGAATATGGGATTAAGGATTGTTCTCAGAGCCATGAAAACCACCCCCATCAGAGCGATAGAGAGGATAGCAGATACTGAACCACTCGAACTCAGAAGACAATACAAAACTCTTTTACAGTATGATAAATTAAAACGACTTGAAAGTCATCCACTGCATTTTAAATTTCAAGAGAGAACAAAAAACAGACTGAAGCGTCAGAGCCCCAACCATCTTGCTAGAGAACTGTACAGACAGCACCGAGATCTGCTTGAAAGAGATGTAGCATTGTGCGAAAAACTTAGGCCAGAACCATGGACAAGCAAACCAGAGAAGGCAAATGTAGTCCTAAAGGTACCAGGGATCACTTCAAAAGATACCCAGACGGAGACACAACAGAGAACCCTGACTCTTGCTATGCTTGATGAGAAATATCCAAACACCACTTAGACTCAGGTTTTCACCGACGGCTCTGCTATAGAAGTAGTCAGAAAGGGGTGTTTTGGAATATACATTAAACCCCCTAGCAGTAGAGCAGAAACTCTCTCTCTCTCTACCAGCAGGTGACACCTGCACTAACTTCAGAGCTGAGGCAACTGCCCTCCTTTCTGCAGTCCAACATCTCATCAATCAAGAACACAGAGGGCACAAAATTGCTATACTTAGTGACTCATTGTCTGTTCTCCAAGCACTATCAAGCAAAAAACAAGACAAACTAATTACAGATATAAGGACCAACATTGGTTTACTCTCCAAGAAAGCAGAACTGGTCTTACAGTGGATACCAGCCCACTGTGGTATTCAAGGAAATGAGAGAGCAGATGAGTTGGCAAAAGCTGGGAGTAATCTTCCACAACCTCATCCACCACACAGCTACAAGGAAACCAAAACAGCGCTAAAGCAGTCTTTCAAGCGGGAGTGGAGAAGGCAGAATGGAGATTACAGACCAGAGAGTGACAGCATAAACAAACTCAACAGGAAAGAACAAACAACAATTTTTAGACTTCGGACTGGACACTGTGGTCTTCGAGCACACCTGTACAGGATAGGCATAAAAGAATCTGCTGCCTGTGATTGTGGAGCAGAAAGACATACCCCTGGGCACATACTACAGCATTGCCCTAACCTCTTCCAGCAAAGACTGTGGATCTGGCCCAAGGGAGCCACATTGAAAGAGAAGCTATGGGGGACCGGTGGCGACCTTAAACGCACATTCCTATTTGTGACCCAGACTGGACTCAATGTTTAGCATGACTGATGTCGAACGCAGGAGAAGAAGAAGAAGAAGGTGGGGAGTTCTTTCGGTGCAGGAAACTGTCTGTGGCAGAATGTGAATTCATTGTGAGGGCCATTATCTCTCCCCTCCGGACAGATCCCCGGGTACTCTCCGAATGTGATTAGTAACGGCTATGACCTCTGCAATAAGGACATATATATATTTAAAATATCCAGAAACCATGAGTTGTTAACCCTTTTGGCTCAGTACTATGGATATCGCAACCCTTCGGCCTTGATTCCATGATAGAAACCGTAAATGTGGGAGAAATGTGGCTGTTCTGCCTACCCCGGGCGTGAACCCAGACCACAAGGAGGTCGTCACCCGGTCGCTCCGAAGTCAGGTTTAACAAACTACGCTAGCAGGCCAGGCATCCGGACAGATACACTGGTGCTGTCCGAATGTGACTGTTAATGACTCCCATCTCCTCTGCACTCCGAACAGATCCACGGATTTTCTCTGAATGTGATTAATAAGGAAAATCCCCATGGCATTCCAGACAGAGCCACTGGTGTCCTCCTCTCCAAGTGATCAGTGAAGTCTTTCGTCTCAGCACACCAGACGCATCCACAAATTCCCAGAGTTCTCTCAGACAAGGGTACTGCCACTGAGAAATCTTCAGAGAAGGGGGTTAAAAAGGGTGGGGTGAAAAAAGGGGGTTGGGGGTTGGGGGATAGTTCCCTTATAATTTCTAGGGGCGAGGACGAGGAACCTTAACCTTGTTCAAGTGCACAATAATAGTTTTGATTATTGTTGTTACCACTCTCAGAAGAATGTGATTAATGTGGAACGTGGTCATAGCATCACAGACACATCTATGGGAACTGTGGACGCTCTCTGGGTCTGATTAGTGAGGAGCGTCACTATAAACTTTCCGCGGGTGAAAACCATAGGAGAAGAAGAAGAAGACATCAGTGCAATGATATTATATTGATTCTGGTCAGAAACCGCTGGATGTTTGTTTTTTAAACAGGGACGTTTCCTTACCACCTCCCTTTATAGAGTTTTATTCTTCTTGCTTGAACTGTTAATTTTTTTTGTTATTTTATTTTTGGAAAAGGGGGGCGGGAGGCTTTACGCTACCTGTGTCAAACACGCGAACGTTTCTACGACTTATAAGTGCAAAAGCATAACATAACTCATTTGCATTTTCGGATGGACACAGAAGTATGACAAGGATGAGATGTCGGAGAGCTGGAGGGGTAACAAAAAGCGATACAGTTGAAAAAAAAAAAATTAGAAGAAAACTATAACTGAAACCAGCTTTACAGTTAATTAAAGAGCAATGAATGAGATCGTTTGTTCATGACAAGAATAACCAAAAATATATTGGACATTTAACAATGAAAAAAATCGCCTAAATTGTGGAATGACAACATCCAAGAAATGCATTAAAGAAATAAAGATCAGCTTATACAACGCATTAGCAAGAACTCACAGAAGATCCCAACATGTACCGTTTCCTATTAACACTTTGACGAGGTAACTAGATGAAGATACAAAGAATCCCTGCTTAAAAACTGCTTGCTCTTTCGCATGTTCTTTCTTTAATTATAAAAAATATCCATTCGCCGCAGCCAAATTTAGTCTGCATTTGATATCTGAGCTTGAATTGCCAGGTTAGAGAAAAGCTGGCACACTAGATGTTGTCCTTTTACGGAACAAGATGGCGGAGCGAGAAACGGAGAAGGTAAATTTTCTCATTCCTATCTAACTTTAACAAGCCATGTGCCTTTGTTTAGCATGAAATAGTTCTGTTTTTTAATTCTTTTTAATTAAAATATAATACTGATTTTATTTTTAAAAATGTGTTCATTAGTTTGTTGCTAGAGTGGTTTCAAAATCGGTCGTCAAGTTTTTTGACGACTTGCGGCGTTGCGTCGTGACTCCTAAACTTTAACCCAACGGAAGCCGGAATCTTGCAAACGTAGTAATTGTCTTCAGTTTTTTTTTTTTTTAGTGACGGCATTCGTCATGGCTGTTGTCAGTCTGATGAATTATCACCACAGAGTATTTTTTTTTTTATTAAACTCTTATAATTAAATCAGAGTTAAGGGAATCAAACTATAGCCGGTAGACTTAGGAGGCCAACTTTAAAGTAACTTAAAACGACACGAAAATTGTTGCCGGCCTGCAGCAATGCTGACAGTGTCACGAAATATTGAATGTCCACAGACAGAATTGACACCCTACTGCCTGCAGTACAAGATAGGTGTTTTATAATGATATGATTAGCTCCTGTTTATTTGCAGCCACTCAAAGTACATTAATTAACATTCAGATGAAGTGGGAAATTCAGTTCTGTGAGTTCAACTCGTCTCATAGGTACTTTAGTCAAATTTTCAAAATGCCCTCTACACCAATAAAACCAGCACAGTTAGATAGCTGTAAACAATCTCTTTCCAACGGTACCTCATTTAGGCTTGTGTGTCATTTCTGAGCTGAGATATGTAGGTTTTTGTGGAGATGAGATGTAGAAAGCAGCTGCTAAAACTTGTGACCCAGAAACAAGAAGTTTTCTCTGCGCACCAAACTGCGCACTTATCGTTTTGGCTTTGTTTACATTGGACTGTCATTGGACAAGATGGCAGGCAATGAGACACAGCCACTGGCTGAGCCAGCGATTGCCTGAAAAATGTCACTGTACATCTACCTAGCCACTGACAAGAAAGACATTTTATATACAAATGTAAAATTGGACGGAGAATTCAATTATAACTAGAATTACCATGTCTAGTAACAGGTAAAGCCTAAAGCCAACCCTGAAACTTATCGCTATTTTCAATCAAACTGATACTGATGTAACAGAAAAACAGAGGACGTCCGGCTGTCATAGACATGCGCTGTTAATCGGGTTCCTTCCCGCCGATTTCAGCTTTTTATAGTGGGAGAAAGTCATACCAATCGCAAAATTTCATGAGAGATTAGGACCAATCCCGAAACCCCAGCCGACATTTGCGAAGCAAGTTTCGAACGGTTTCCAGGGTAACGGAAATTGCCGAACACCGTAGTCGCTACGTCTCATCATGCATGATGATTGATCACAATCACAAGTCGTGTCACAAACATTTTATTTTTACAAACAAAATGAGCTTATTTGTCTACATACTTACTAACTGTACTGCCAAACTGAATGTCTCAAGGCATGTAAGTGGTGTGGGGCAAAAGTTACACACAGCAGGCCAGCTGCAGTGTTTATTTAAATAATATAATATTGGGTAATTGGGAGATAAAATTAAAAGAACAGGTCAACAGGAGTTTGCAGTAATCCTCATTACTAATACTCACACATACAACCATGACATGATTTCCACCCAAAAATGTTTGCCTGAGAATTGTTTTGTTTCCTTTTAAAAACACACACACATATATATATAATTATATTATCTGAATACTGTTTTCCGTTTCCATGAAAAAATGTTCCTTCTGCATTGCTGTTTTCCATTTTCTAAAAAAATAATAATTTTAAGGTGGTATCCTAGCGAAAGTTATTAAACCCAATAAAAACACATACAGGATTGCTACATAAATTCTTAACTGAAATCTGGGAGATAACAAAATACTAGCAGATTGGAGAGAAAGATATCTCATGAAACCGCTCAACAAAGGTGACCTGCAGAAGAGTAAAAACTATAGACTATTTATGATGCTGTCAGTTGCTGGACAAATATTAAGTAGGATTATTCTGGAAATATGACTATCCTCCGAATAATGGTCCCAAATTATCGAGAACGAAAATATACCCTAACAGGGCCTCAGTCACGTGTCAGTTGCGGACTTCCGGGGACTATACCGCCACCCCTGAATATTATAATTACTAATATTGAGTTTTGGAAGAGAACTAACCAAATTCGAGTTTGGAAAAGAGGCTGGCGTTGGATAGGAGACACATTGAGAAAACATGAGAACAATGTAACAAGAATGTCTTGCATTGTAACCCACAGGGGCATAGAAACAGTCAGATAAAACAAAACATGAGAACAATGTAACAAGAATGTCTTTGCATTGTAACCCCCAGAGGCATAGAAACAAAGTCAGATTAAAAAAAACATTATGGGTACTTGAGAGAAGTTAAAAGGATAGGGAGGGCATGGGCTGAGCTGCATGCAGTAGCAAAGTATAGGATGACTAGGCTGAGTTGTTTGAGGGCTCATGCTCAGCAGAGGGGGACGAGGAGAAACAAATTTACCACTGATGATTTTTTTTTTTTTTCTAAAACATATTTTCCCTTATACTTTTTTTTTTTCAAATACCTGTCTGAGTAATAATGTTGATGTGTTTAAGATTGTAAAAACAAATATTTTATGATTTACATACATTTGCATATGGATACAGACACACACACACTCAGACTTGTAGTATTTTCACAATTTAAAATGTCTCATGGCACTAAATACATGCCTAAGACAAACTCTTTAACTCTTTCAGTCCCAGTGGGTTTAGACAGCAGGTAATAAAAAGAAGTAAAATCAGAGCATCTTGCGTTTGTTGGGCTTCCAGTTCACCTGTAAACGTACGATGCATTCCTTGGAACTGAAAGTGTTAAAATGTATTATGATTGTACAATGTTAACTTTATTCCTTGTAATTGTTTTTTGCAGCAAATGTCAATTATAAGGTTAAATGATGATGACGATTACAGAGAAGAAGAGGATGGTCTGCCCGACCCAGAATTGGTCATTAAACACCCATTACAAAACTCCTGGGCCATGTGGTTTTTCAAGAATGATAAATCCCGGGACTGGAAGGACAATCTGCGTGTGATAACAACATTTGATACAGTCGAGGATTTCTGGGGGTCAGTTGCTAATACCTGTGTCATCTCTCTCTTGTTAAACATTGATGTCATCTCTTGTGTATTAAAACTTTCGGCCTTGATTCATTGTAAATACCGTAAATCTGGAGAAATGTGTGGCTTTCCTGCCTACCCCCGGGATGAACCCGGACCACAATTGTCACCGGTCTCCGCGAAATACGGTTTATTGTTAGAGAGCCGGGCATCTCTCTTGTTAAACATTGATGTCATCTCTTGTGTAAAACATCAGTGTCATTCCTTGTATACTATTAAACATTGTCATCTCTTATGTTAAGCATTAGTGTCATCTCTCGTGTTAAACATTAGTAAAATCTCTCATGTTCAACATTTGTGTTATTTTTGATGTTAAAATTAGTGTCATCTCTTGTGTTAAATATTTGATCAGCAGAGCTTGTAGTGCGCCTTGAAAATGAGGTCCTTTCTTGCTCTCCTCTTTCTTCATCCACTCCCACATCCTTTGCTTTATCTTCTCTCTCCTCTCTATCCCTTCTATCCCCCCTTTTCTCTTTTTCTTTCTCTCTTTACTTTATTTACTCCTTCAGAGCTATCTTTTCCAAGTGATACAAACGTACCAACTTATTTTGTTAGTAAAAGTGCATAGTTGCAAAATAATTCATTTTGTCTTTCAGATACAATTATTCAAGGTCCGTTACATTAGAGAAAAACTTTGTTTTTGTAGAATAAGTCTTCATTGATTTGAACAAAGTATATTCTGTTTGCAGACTGTACAACCACACACTTCCAGCCAGCAGGCTGCAGACGGGCTGTGATTACAGTGTGTTCAAGGTAAAAGTGCTTCTCAATGTTATCCCATATGCATACACTGTATGTTTTTATTGTATCAGATATGATTATTGTGCCAGATATTACTGCTATGGCCACCTTGGTCAAAAGGCGCAATATCACAGCTTTGCTTGTAAATAGGCACAGTCCAAGTTAAACAGAAATAACATGATTGTAAGAAATGGGAGGAAGAAAATGAACAAACTACTTTCGAAGGGTGAGAAACTGGTTATCAAGTGCATCTTGCTTTCTGTTCTTCCAATCATTCATCTGTCATCTGTACAGGGGGACTGCACAGATATCATAACCTGCCTGTCCTCCCCTCCAGTTTTTCCCCTTCATAATGTTGTCCATGAATTTGGTTTGTACCTTTCTTTTGTGGGTAATCAGCTCTCTTTATAAGAGAGTTTCCAGAAAAAAATGAACCCCCCCAGTCGTTTGTGACATAAAGGTTATCAGCTAAATAGAGGTTATTCCTTAAAAGTTTGAGTGCATTTTTTGGCAAAGAGCCTACATACAAATAAGCCAGATATGTAAAACGAATGTGCACACAACTCAGGTTCTGGAATAAGGCCAAAGTCCAGAAGTGTTTGAACAACTATAACTTTCTGCCAGAGATGACATTTCTTTCCAGGTACATGTATCTTTATTATGCTCGTTGTCACAGGGCTCCCATCATTCATTTTATAAAACATCTTTGCAGCATCTACATATCGCTCACTGCTAAGCTGACTCCATACTTCACTTACACACTTCAGGATTAGCTGTATATAGCTCTTTAAGATTTCTTTCCCTTATCAGTTGACAAGAAGTTCTGGACCAAAACTAGTGCCCAGAAATGGGCAAACAGCCAGAACTCTCCTCAGAGTTTACAGCCGGTGAAAGTGAATAAAAAGTTTGCATAGAATGTTTTTTTTCCATCCTAGAATTTATGAGATTTAAATAATTTTGTTCCACATTATCGGATAGTGCAGTCAATTAAGCACCAATATATTTGTTCCCTGTTAGTATCAGTCATTTGTTACAAATACAAAGCTACACCGCTCAGGCCCAGTTTCTAGTTTCATTGAGAACCTAATCATTCTGACTGTAATTTCTAGTTTCTTTGGGCACCCTATTTCTTTCAGTACAATTCCCATGAGTATTTTATTCACATGACCCATGCAGCTAATTATGTGATGTTCCTTAGCTGTGTGTCCATGACTAAGACATCCACAGTGATTTGCTGGCTGGGTTGCTTGATTAACACAGCTGTTTATTCTCACGCTTAGCTAGAGGTCTGTCACCTCTGGAGTATTCCATAAGATGCTCCTCTATACTTGTTATAGTAAAGGTTTAAGAGTTCTATAGCTGGAGCTGTCCAGGAGATACTCCTCTTCACTAGTATGTTCTTCAGACAGATCTATCACTTCTAAAGCAGTGCAGACGATATCTGCCTCTTTACTTACTAAAGCATAGGTTTCAGAGATCCAGTTCTATTCCCTGAGGCAGTCCTACAGTTTAGAGGTGTTTTGACTTGCCTTCATTTGATGTGTACACGACCGCCTGTAAATAGTTGCTTATGGTCATGGCTGTGTATATACAGCGTGCTGACAGGTTTAACCGCGGCGACACGCTGTCTCCCACCTGAAAGTGCGCAGGTATTTTCTCGCAGATGAAAGTTGGCAACTCTCTTTTCTCTGAGCAGCCCTTCAAGCGTTAGGGTTACATGCAGGAATACTGACACGTCAGTGAAATTTATTGCGAAGACTAAGTCATGAAGTAAAGAGTGAGGGCGATAAAGAAACGAAGGTAACAAACACTGAAAATTAGGACACAATAAACGATAACATTGTAAAAGAACACATGACAACCTAGAATATAGGAGTTTTAGCGTTAGTGTTAAATGAGCAGCAACTAAGACTGACCCTAAATACTCCCCCCCCCCCCTTCCCTAGAGTGTATGACTTTTTCGAGTAATCACTATGAAATCTTACGCTTGACAAGATGGGGTGAAACACCTGAATAGTGCCCATAGCTCTTATCACTGGTGAGGTCCAGGAGAGATTCCTGTATACTTGTGGTACAGGTTTCAGGAATATATTACTGAGACAGTCCAGGAGTTACTCCTCTATACTTCCTGGAGTACAGATTTTATAGATTTAATACTGGACATCCTGACAACACAAAGGGAGCGGACACTCAAATGCGGATCTGAAGGTCATTGTAAAAAAAAAAAACATTGACTCCTAGGTCAACCCAGTCCTCAGTGGGCACCAGGCAAAGTCCTGGTACCGATTGGTGTATCAAATTTAGGTCTAGCCCAGTATGCCCTAAGGCGAGGAAAAGGGTACTTTATCCAGGAGATACTCCTGTATTTGTTGTAGTGAAGGTTTCATAGATGTATTACTAAAATCTGTCATTTGTTGTTAGGGTCTTACTGGTGTGATATTTTTCAGTAGAGGGGCTGTACGCATTGATTGCTTTCTAGGGGACATATGATGTGTGGCTTGTGTTGAGAAATCAGTCTTTGTGATATTCTGCAGGCTGGTATTCAACCGATGTGGGAAGATGCACAGAACAAGAAAGGTGGTCGCTGGCTGATTAACTTGAACAAAACACAGAGACAGACGCATTTAGATGATTTCTGGTTAGAAACAGTAGGTCCATTTTTATGTTTACATAATGTATAAGTTTGTGTGTGACCACGCCCTGAGGCAGACGTGCAGATGTTTTATGGTCAGAAAGGGTGGGCAAGTTTTTGTGCGCACATAACTCGCGTGTGTCTGTGCGCGGACGCTCTGAGGCAGACGTAGATAATTTCTGGTTGAAAATAGTTTTCTTTGCGTAAAATTTGTGGTAGTGTGTATGTGTGTGTGTATATATATATATATATATATATATATATATATATATATATATATATATATATTGTATGTACACCACAGATTAGTGTGTGTGTGTATAGGAGACTGTCAGTTTCAAATTTATTTAGGGATGGGTATATCTTGATGATATAATAATTACAGAAGCACAGTCGTTACATCAGCCACAATTGCAATGTACTGACTATGGTTAAGGGGGTTTGTTACATCAATCATTATTTGTAATCCAGTTGTATAAGATGTTTGTGATTACCAAAAAGCTCTGAGATCGCCACTCAGCATGGATGCAGACATGAGCTACAGCAGTGCTATTCCACTATGGACCAAATTGTTAAAAATTGGGATCGTCACAAGCCAAGGGCCCAAGCTCCATCATAGAAGGAGCATGAATACAGTTAGCAGTGATCTGTGGGTCGCTTATTAGGCTTTTGCAGACTGCCAGTTGAACAGATGTGACCCACAGGGACAATTCAAGAACAGTAGGTGTTAGCCTGCCAACCAGAAGAAAAAACACCTAAATTTTGACAACACAAAGGGAAATATAGGCTTAAAAGCTAATGCAAAAGAAACTGCTTACCTATTATAGCTTGAGGAGGGGATTGTGTGTGTGAGTCAGTCGTCTGCCTTAGCATATGTATGCATGCTAGCCTAAGTTTGTATGGTTTGTGTGCTGTCCTGTAGTGTTTGTATAGTTTATATGCTGTTATATCTGATCACTTATTCAATAGCTAATGTGTGAGCGTGTATATTGTAGCTGTTATGTGTAAACACCTTTGTTGCAGGTATTATATGTGAACACTTAGCTCTAGCTGTTATATGTGAATATTTATTTATAGCTGTTATATGTGTATACTTAAATTATAGCTGTTGTGTGTGAACACAGGCAAAAACTGCATTTTATAAAATGAAAAACATCTTGTGCAATATATCCTTGTCATTGAGAGTTAGAAAAAGAATTCTTGCTTGCTACATACATCCAGTTTTAACATATGGATGTGAATCCTGGACAATCGGTAGGCAGGCCAAACAATTTTTAGAGGCCTCAGAGATGTGGTTTTACAGAAGAATGCTTAGAATACCTTGGACAGCCAAAAAGAGCAACCAAGAGGTTTTAAAAGAGGCGGGAGACCGAAGACAACTTATCACTGACATCAGAAGGAGACAGTCATCATTTTTCGGCCATGTTATGAGAAGAGGGAAAATAGAACATGTTGTGACCACTGGAAAGATCTGTGGAAGGAGGGATAGAGGAAGACAACGAGAGAAGATGCTTGACAGTCTTGTTGCATGGCATGGAGGTGTGTCGGCACACGAACTGATACATGCTGCAGGAGATCGCGGATTATGGAGAGGCATGATCGCCCACGCCAGTCGGCAAGGCACCTGATGATGATGATGTGTGTGAATACTTTTGTTGAATCTGCTATATATGAAGACTTATGTTATAGCTGTTATATGTGAAACTGTTGACACTTGTGAGAACACTTATGATGCAGCTGTTGTGTGTAAACACTTTTGTTAAAGCTGTTTTATGTGAGCACTTATGTTGCAGCTGTTGTGTCTGATTGGCGAGGGATTTGATGAGCACTCTGATGATATCTGTGGAGCCACTGTCAACATCAGACCAAAGGGAGACAAGCTGGGTCTGTGGACTCGAGATGCAACTAAGACGGAAGCCACGAAAATTATTGGGTGAGAAATTATATTATCTATGCATACATTTATTGGTAGGCTACCCATCACCAGTTATATAGAGCATTAGTTTACTTGTAAGCTACTCATCATCTTTGATGTAAGACAAACATTTACTTATAAGTACATGTGATATAAAAATACAGTTTGGGATATATCTAAAAAAAAAATATTCTGACCTAACAGACTAGAGGGTGGTATTTAATCGAGAATGCCTGAATGAAGCGTGAATTTGTCATGACCAAGCTAACAATTTTTATAGCTTTTTAGGCTAGAAAACATCTTCCGTCATAGAGCATACTGAACCAATGCTTATAGCTGCAATATTTCTGCTCGATCTTATCATTTTGACTTGGTAACAGTCTCCCATGACATGGGAGAGACCAGTTGAAGCCATCTTTGAAGTTATTGTATTAGTGTGGAAGTTAACAGCATTAGCCAAGAATCATGTGGACTTTTCTGAAAGGTTTTCACTTGGGTATTAGCAGGTTATTGCGAGACCAGAGATTAGTTGCAAATTAAAATTGAGATCACATACATGCTGACTTCCACAGCAGTGGCCCTCTGAGTAACAGTTGTTTCACAAGTTTTTTTTTTCAACCTGAGTATCACTTGCTTCAAAGGCTTTGTAGTCTTTTGTGTAACATATTCAAGTGGCTGACCCCTTCTATCGACTCTATGATATACAGGTATTCAACCCATTAACCCTTTTTATGCTATCAGAGGTAGTAGACATATGGTGCTAACTGCATGTTTGATGACCTTCTTTCTCCCTTCCTTCTCCACCTGACAGTCTTTGACATAGAACCTGGTTTGTGAGGTACTGGTGGCGGATGACATAGATTTTCATGCATGTACTTTTTATCCACAGATTAAAATTAAAAGAATCACTCAGTGTCCCATCAAAGATTGTCATTGGATTCCAGGTATGTTGGATTTCTGTTGCATGCAGCCTTGATGAACTTCTGGGTGGGACAGGGTAGAATTGTGTAATTGATTTTCTTGGCAGTGTATTTGCTGCTTTTGATAATTGGTGTGTTAGCTGTTGTCTTGGTGGCAATTGGCGTATTAAATGCTGGTTTAGAAAGACGGGTCATTTGCCACAGGGAGTATGTTAGATCTTGTGTGTTAGCTGCTGTCTTTGATAGTCTTTGTGTGACCTGCTGTTTTTGATAGTCTCCATGTGAGTAGCTGTCTTTGATAGTTGGCATATTAGCTGCTGTCCTTAAAAGTTGGTGTGTTTGCTGTTGTTTCTGATAATCAGTATATTAGCTGCTGTCTTTGATAATCAGTGTATTAGCTGCTGTCTTTGATAATCAGTGTATTAGCTGCTGTCTTTGATAATCAGTGTATTAGCTGCTGTCTTTGACAATCAGTGTATTAGCTGCTGTCTTTGATAATCAGTGTATTAGCTGTTGTCTTTGATAATCAGTGTATTAGCTGCTGTCTTTGACAATCAGTGTATTAGCTGCTGTCTTTGATAATCAGTGTATTAGCTGCTGTCTTTGATAATCAGTGTATTAGCTGTTGTCTTTGATAATCAGTGTATTAGCTGCTGTCTTTGATAATCAGTGTATTAGCTGCTGTCTTTGATAATCAGTGTATTAGCTGCTGTCTTTGATAATCAGTGTATTAGCTGCTGTCTTTGACAATCAGTGTATTAGCTGCTGTCTTTGATAATCAGTGTATTAGCTGCTGTCTTTGATAATCAGTGTATTAGCTGTTGTCTTTGATAATCAGTGTATTAGCTGCTGTCTTTGATAATCAGTGTATTAGCTGTTGTCTTTGACAATCAGTGTATTAGCTGCTGTCTTTGATAATCAGTGTATTAGCTGCTGTCTTTGATAATCAGTGTATTAGCTGCTGTCTTTAATAATCAGTGTATTAGCTGCTGTCTTTGATAATCAGTGTATTAGCCATGCCTGTGATTGGTATCACCAAACTGTGAATGAAGTAAAATATGTGGCATGCTACTTAGCCACTATCTTAAAAGTGGGAAATCCATACATGGGGTTCTAATATAGACAATGAAGATAGAAATTGACAGTGGCCGAAATATTTTTGGCGGACTAATTAATTGGAGAGTCACCGTGGTCTAGCAGCTAGGTTGCGGGTTCGGTTTCTGACCTTGGGGCCCCAGGTCGACTCACCCTTTAGTGGGTAGCAGGTTCTGTCCTGGTAAGGAAAGGCGGCTGGCATGATGCTGACCACATCAGACACCAAGTGCCGTTTAGTCTATAGCTCTATATACCCAATACGCATGAAAGGCGTGGGAAAGTCTCCTTTACTCATCTGAAGTCTGGTCCAGAGATGGACAGAGTCAGGGGAGGTAGTGTCTTGCAAATGGCAGTGCCATCACACTCGTTATAGAAATTTCACACACCCATCTTAATTTCATTGCCTCTCATTTGGAAACCCTCGCCTCATGCCATATGTGAGGTAAAAGATTAAGCGTGAAGGTCAAGGAAATCCCTAATTTGCATCATGGAGTAGGGAGACTGCCAAAAATCATAAACCAAAGAGAGTTTAATTAAACAGCAGTCACAGGTTTTAACAAGTTCATGTAGTGGAGAATCACAAATGAGAGAACAAAAAAAAAACGCTTAGCACATTTCCAGCCTGCTGTTTATATCTGGATCTGTTAGGTATCTCATTGCTCTACAACATGACGTGTCTTTTGTGTGTGCAGTTGTGGTACATAATAATCATGATCATCATCATGCGATATGTAGTACATGGTAAAGATTATCAAAGAATATATGCAGCATGATAATGATAATTTTGTGTTGTCTTTTCAGGCTCATTCTGATACTGCTGGAAAGGCAGGCTCTACAGTCAAGAATCGGTTTACTGTATAATTGGAGAATGCCCAGGCTTACGGTTATTAGAAGGCACAGCTTGGTGAAATAAATAAATTACTGACAGGGTCAGTGACTGCAGATTTCTTGGAAACATTTAAAAAAAATCTTTCTCAAAACAGGCAACTACAACAAACCCGATGTTTCACAAAATCTAGTTGTATGCTACATTGTGCGTGTGTGTGAGCACGAGTACTGTTTGTAGAACAAATAGAAACGTAACAAGCAAACCTAGGCTTGATATATGTGTTTGAGGCATGATTGAGAACAACTTGTTGATTACAGTATGAAGCTGTATATTTCTCCTGTTGATTGCAGAGAAACCTTTTTAAAATTTTATTTAGACTTGCAGGATCAGTTGCTGTATTCATAGATTCACTCAGTGGGCACTGTGTCCCTCACACAGTATGTTTATGTGAGCACTAGAACCTTCTCTTGTTGGCTGGCAATTTCTAGGTGCCAGTTTGTACATACGTTCATATACTCACATATGGGGGTTGGAATTTTTCTCTTTTGTGGTTATTAACGTTTGAAGTTAATAAAAATGGAAAAATCAATACATTTTGTAATGTTGCTGATTTTTTGTTTCTGACTGAATTACTGTTGCGGCACAGTGCCCTGTGTTACTGTTGCGTCACAGTGCCCTGTGTGACTGTTGTGGCACGGTGCCCTGTGTGTCTGATTGTCCCAGAACAGTGCCTTGTGTCTGAATTTTGCAGCACAGTGCCATGTGTGTGACATATTGGCTGTTGGAGCACTGCCATGTGTGTGACATATTGGCTGTTGGAGCACTGCCATGTGTGTGACATATTGGCTGATGGAGCACTGCCATGTGTGTCTAACTGATTTGATAAAGTGGTGGGTGATGATCATTTGCCTGACATTCTTTTTTTAGCACAGTTGTTTCTGCTGGATCCATTGCTGCAAGCATGCCCGTGTGTGAGTGTGTGGCTGCTGTTATCTTTTGACTTGGACGGTAACTGACAAAAACCAGACATCTTGATGTGTGTCTGTCATTGATTTGTTGCTTATGCCTACTTGTCTTTCTAGTCTTGTTTGTTTGTTTGATGAAGTGAGGAGCATATAGATCTGTCAACATTGAACATTGTCTACTCACACCATTGTCTATTTACTCATCTGCTCACACCAGTCTGCTTATTTATTTACTTACACCATTGTCTGCTCACACTCAGCCAGTCTGCTTATGGTTAATGAACTGTCATTTACCACTTTACCAAATACCTGATAAATCGTCTAGAACGCAACACTCTGATAGATATAATAGACGTAATAAAGAAATGTGTTGATTGTCAGCACACAGTATTAGCTGAACATTGTGATAGTTAAGACAGTTGATCTTGGTGTGTGCTGCTTTCAGAGAAGAAACCTTCTAGATGGCATCTGGCTCACATGTTGGCAGGCACACAAACACACATGGTCATTGTGCTGACTTATAGGTTCTGAACTAGTGGACTCTACAAAAGGGTCTGGAGCCTTGGTTTATAAAAGTTGTAGAATAGTTTGCTGATGAAGACTTGAATTGCTGTGAAGTGAAGCACTCTTGTTGACACAACTGAGTCTGTATAAATGCTTAAATAAAGTTTGAGTTTGATTCTGATGTCACTCTTTGCGTTGTCTGTGATATGTTCGTATTTCCAAGTATGTTGTGTTATCGATCCAGCGGCGCATGAGCTTTCGTCTTTTGGCCCAATGCCATGTAGTGGAATTTGCATGTTTTCATAAGCTGTTCTTTTCCTCCGTACAAGGTGTTCCACTTGTCTGGTCTCACTGAGTTTTGGGCACTCAAAGAGATGGTGTTCAACAGTTTCGTAGGGGTAGTTACATAGCTGGCACTCTGGGGAGTGTTGTGGTTGTATTCTGTTTAGATGTCCATTGAGTGGAGTATGTTGTGTTCTAAGTCTGAAGATGGTGGCCTGGTCCCTTCTTGTTAGATGGTTAATGCTGTCATTAGGATCAGGGCCAGCCATATGTCTATAAACCTCTCTTCCAGTGTCTCCCATGGCCCATCTGTTCAACCAAGTCTCTTTGTTTATAGCTATTATAAGTGTTTTTGCTGTCTGGAGGGTTGTCGCTGTAGGTGGTTGTTCTTGTGTTGCTCCTTTCTTTGCCAATCTGTCATTACCTGGTGTGCCGGAGTGACCTGGAACCCACTGCATCACTATTCTGATGTTGCATGAGGTAATAAGCTGATCAGCATCCAGGATGTATTTCCAAGTAAAATGTGTAAGTGCATTTGTTTACATCCTCTCACTGAGCAGACTGTATAAAGGCCTGGCGACTGTTGTCCTGCAAAACTTGGGTAGCTTAAGAACAGCATAGAATAAAAACCATGTTTATAGACAACTCACTTGGTTGGTCATGGAATTCACTTCACTCTGACTTCTTTCCAACACTTTTCCTGGTAACTGTTTTCGGTGGGATAAAAGTCTGAAGGGTGGTGTGACATCTGTTACAACCTATGCAAGACATCTGCCACATTGCACACTACATAAAATGGCCTGTCTCATCCCCAGTTGCTAGAAATCCTCTAGGACATGTTAGCTATTCCTTAAAGCATTGGTAGCAATGTCTTTCAATGATTCATTTAAAGAATGAGTCAATTCAATGCACCGGATCTTCAACTAACTGACAAAGCTGGTTTGAATATCCTTTGGTTGAGCAGACAACCACCCACTGCACAATGCTATAAAAGAGATGCATCTCAAAAGAGGCTACTTCTGGTTGGCCGAGACAAGATCAGTCGCGGAAAAAAAAAATGGACGGATACATCAGTAGACATGCATGATTTTGTCAGAGGATGTCATAATGCTGGGGAAGTACTGCAGAAATCAGATTCCTGCAACCATAGACACCGAGATAAGGCCACTGATTGATGAACATTCATGCACAGGAGACATCATTTACACCGTTGGATTGGTGAAGCGCGGGTCAAAACCAACGTGGGCATAGACAGCACAAAGATGGGGAAAAGATTATTGCAATTTAATAACACAAAATCCAATGTATCAACATTAACCTGCCGAATAGCACATAAATATTATATTGTACTGAAATAAATAAACACTCACCTGTGAGTGTTTCTATACATGGTTTAGTGAGACATCTTAGTCTCCCTACAAAACTATGGGGGGGGGGGGGGGGTCAGGGGACCTGAGCTCCGAGGTTCTAACATCTGTGCTGTATTTTCTTCCAGTCAAGGTGCTGATTCGTCTAGTTCTATGCATGTATCTCTCTCTGTATGTAAGTACGTTCTGTGTATCCACGGGCTACTTCTTCTTCATTTCCTCTTTTACCGCTGTGGGTGTTGAGGGAGATATAAGGTTCTGTTTCTGGCTCTTCTGGCCTCCTCGACCATAGGCACATCGTGCAGTTGTAGAGCTTCTCTGATGTTATCCTTCGATATTGTTCTTGGTCTACCTCTTGCTCTACGACCTTCTTCTCTTTCCATGTATGCTTTGTATGGTATGGTGTCACAAGGTATTCTCTCTGAGTGGGCAAACCATCTCACTTGCTGTCTTCGTATGTAATTTAGAATTGGTTCTGTGCCGACTTTTTCTCTTAGGATCTCATTCCTGATCTTATCTCTTATGGTCACTCCTACAGCCCTTCTCAGACATCTCATTTCCATGGTTACTAATTTTCTTTTATGGTTTGTTGTGAGTGACCATGTCTGGCACTGGTAGCACAGAGTTGGAATAAATATGCTTTGAATAAGATGTCTCTTTGTGCTGATTGGTATTGTCTTATGCTGTAAGAGGGGTGCTAGCTGTCCCAATACTTGGTTTGCTTTACTGCATCTAATGTTAATTTCTTTATCCAATTTCCCATCTTCGGTAAATGTAGTTCCCAGACATTTAAACTCAGATGCCTGTTTAATGCCTTTGCTCTCTATTGCTATGTTTAGATCTGTCTTCTTTTTTTCCTATTGACATTACTTCTGTCTTTTCAGTGTTGATTCTCATATGATTTGTTTTACATTCTTCATTCATGGATGTTAGATGTTGTTGCAATTTCATGGCTGTATCTGCTATCAAGGCCTGGTCATCTGCAAAGAGTAATTCGTTGATCTTACTAAGATCTTCATTCATGGGCTTGGCATTCTTGCATATACTGTCGATGTAGGTGATAAACAGCAGTGGTGATAAGACACACCCCTGTCTTACTCCAGATGTTACTGTGAATGGATGAGATGTTCCCTGATTTATTCTAACTACACTTCTACAATCCCTGTATAAACTTTTGCATACTTCGATGAGGTGTTCGCTTACTCCATATCTTGCCATTACTTTCCATAATAATTGTCTGTCGACTCTGTCAAATGCCTTCTCCTGGTCTACGAAGGCCACAAATAAGTTCTTAATGTATTCAATGTTCTTTTCTATTAACTGTTTAAGTGTGAAAGCTGATATTATCAATGCCCTCAGAGAAATGGGAAAGATTGACGACTTTGGTGGCAGTGAATCCACATCACTCGCCAGAATGGCAGACTTGGGAATTAAGATCGGCACAGCAAAAAACGAGACGCACACCAGCTACGCCAGAAGACTTGTTAATCAACATAGAACTGGTACTATTAGCCATCGGACGTTGGGGTTCATACTGAGGGGAGGATCTGAGCACCTATGGACATGTCCGGAGTGCAATGAGGATAACCCAACTAACTAACTAACTAACTAACTGTTTAAGTGTGAAGATTGCATCTGTGCAGCTTCTATTTCTCCTAAATCCCATCTGTTCCTCTGCCAGCTGTGGTTCTATCACTGGTCTCAGTCTTGTTTCTATTATCTTGGCATACATTTTGCCAACATGGCTTAAAAGAGAGATGCCTCGGTATTGACAGCATTCTCGTTTGCTTCCTTTGTTCTTCCACAATGGTATATAACTATTGCATTTTGCCAATCAATAGGGGCAGTTTGTTGTACCCATGCTGCATTAAATATTCTGTGGAGCCATCTGATGCTGCTTTCACCTGCTGTTTG